CCTTACAGAACAGCAAACCAGGAAGGAGAATGTGAAATTGAGGGTTTTATACCCAGCAAAACTGTCCTTCCAGTATCAAAGCTTCAGAAGAATATTTTCAAATATACAAGAGTTTAGGAAGCCGTGCCCACCAGCCCTTTTTAGGAACTTAGCAAGCTTTTCTAAAAAGGGAAGCTATTCGATATTGTCACTCTACAAACCCATGGTCTCTGTCATAACCACTTCATCATTGCAGCACAAAGCTGCTATAGACAATATATAAACATAAAGGCTATGTCGTAATAAAACTTCATTTACAAAAACAAGTGTCAGAAGGGGTTTGGCCCTCAGGCCATGGTTTTCCAGCCCTTTATGATAGGATACTCTTCATCTAACCAAGAGATGAGTTGGGGACACTTTGGTAAAAAGGCTGATGGTGAACATTTTAACGTGTTTAATTGTAGAGCTAAAACTAAAGCGAAGGTGGAGGAAGGAATATGTAACAATGAAGATACAATAGCTATGAGTATGCCCCAAGTAACACAGCAACTACTTAATGTAAATCCAACCACAGGAGATGCCAGGAGATGGAGATAGAAACTTACTGGGTTTAGGAGACATTAACACACCATTCGAGACATAAAACAGACCAAGTGGCAAGTCGATAGAAGATAAGGAAGGGTGTAAAGACCTAAACAACATAATAAGGGAAGTCACGTATATCAAACACTGCACTGCAAAAATAATGCACCTTTGTCTCAAGTATACACAGAACACTCACAAAATCTGATCATGTGTTTGGTCAAAAAGAAAACATCAGTAGGTTCCATGAAACAGAAATAGTACAAGCAATCCCCTCTCATCACAAAGCAGTAAAGTTTGAAGTTCATAACAATTTTTTTAAGTACAAAAAGTCCCCTGTACCCAGACATAGAAATATGCAGGATTCAGCACCCACATTTGGCAGTAACTCAGAAGTGGTAGACCTAAGGGTTTCTATTGACATTGAACTGAGTGTTCAAAGCTGCTCCTTCATTTGCTCACTGAACAAGATGTAACTGAGCACCTACTGTGTGCAGATGTGGTGTGCAGTTGAGGCTAACCTCAGACGAAGAGGTTCCTCTCTGTTTTTCAGAGATGCCTTTGGGTGAGAGGGCCTGACAAGCAAACAGGACTCCAGCCCTTTGGGAAGAGCCTGTGTCTGGGGACGCGGGACAAATGTCCTAGAATTTGTGTGCAGGTGTGACACGGTACCAGGAAACAGTGGCTGTGGTGCATCACACCTGGGCTGGGTGGAGAGTATGGGGAGAGCCCCCCACCTGTTGCCTCTCACTGGCTGTCGCTGGCTGTCACTTCCCAGGGAATCGAAGACTAAGGCACCTAATATCTGCCCATGGAAGGGTCCAGTTAGTGTCGTTCTTATTGCTTGTTGATTTCAAGTGGGCCAGGTGATAACCGGAGCACGTGTTGGTTGAGGCCTCGTGCCAGTAAAACATTGACCACTGGGTTGTGTCCAGGAGATGAGGGTCAAAGGTGGGTGGCAGGATTACTTCTGCCACATGAAGAAGAGTCGAAGGCCGTGTACATTGGGACACTAAACAAAGACCCACAGGGTTTCTGATACCCTGTTGCCTCAGTGTTTTTACATCCTTAAACCACCATCCTCTAGGGAACAAGCGTCCAACAGGCTGGCGGAGCAGACAGCACCGGCCACAGTGTAACGAGCTCCCGTCACGCACAGATCCGAGCAGCCCCTTCTGGTCTTCTGAACGCATCACTCATCGCCCTAGATCCGGGACCTCAGTTCCTTTCCTTTGGAAACCATCCAAACCGTGGACAAAGTTGGCAACTCCCCAAATGTCCAGGAACTCTGCGCTCGTTAAGTCATTTGGCTCTATCCCTACGATGGAGTATCATGCAAGCTTTTAAAAAATGAGTCCTGAGGAAAGATTTTTGATCACGTAGGAGTTGCTTCTGCTACAAGAGTGAAATAAAGCAACATGTAGAATGATTTATGTGTAGCATGACATCAAGGTCAAAGTAAACATGTTTAGGGAAAAAAGTCCAGGACCGCGTGTGTTCTTTGGTTCTCTCGTTTTATGCTTTTATGGACCCTCTCAGATTTTCTGCAATGTGCGTGAATTATATTTATTCTTTCCACCGGGGAAACAAAGGAAATATGGCTACAGAAGACATCGCTAAAATGACTGAATGTGCAGACCGGTCTCCGTGCAGACCAGCACAAAGATTATGTCAGGAAGCTTCAGGTCACTTCTCAGGCTTCTTCATGGACAACCGTGGAATGCAATTAAAGTCAAAAAATGTCTTTTGGGTTCCCAACAAGCACAAGGCTCTTTCCCGAAACCGTTCTTCACGAGAGCTAGGAATAAGGCAACTACTTACACAAGCCTCGTGCAGGGCGGAATAGGACCATGGCTCTGGGGACGAGGAGGGAGAAGTCGGGGCTGTGAGCAGCCCCACGTGCTTCGCCCCACAGTGGGGTCGTGTCTGCAGTTCTCTGAGTAAAATGTTCTTTTGTTCCCCTGAAAGTTAAAATCGACCACATGCAACATGTGGGGGAGGAGGGGAGAGATATCACAAGACTCAACCCAACCGGATATAGAAAGAAGCTCCTTTGCTCGGGTTCCTGAAGGCAGAGTGGAGGGCAGTCCATCTCGTGCACCCCCCTCGGTGGGAAGTCCTTCAAGCCCAGTTAGAAGCAAACACCTTTGCTCAACAGATACACAGGGAACCGTTTTGAAAATCAAGAAGAAAAAGCAGTGATCTCGCAAAAAGAGATTGTTCTGATACAATAGTTGTTGAATCGAAGACCTAAAAGCGCCCCAGCTGGTGTGGCTCAGTGGTTGAGTGCCAGACTGTGAATCAAAGGGTCACCGGTTTGATTCCCAGTCAGGACACAGGCCTAGGTTGCGGGCCAGGTCCCCAGTAGGGGGGAACGTGAGAGACAACCACAAACTGATGTTTCTCTCTCTCTCTTTCCCTCTCCAAAAATAAATAAATCAAATCTTAAAAAACAAAAACCCTGAAAAGCACACAGGGAGACTCAATGCCACAGACTTAACAAAGCCAGAAGTCTTTCTGTTAAGACAAATGTCTTTCTGTTCTGCTTGGAGGACGCGTGGACATGGTTTCTGTAGCTCATTAGCTATCAAAATGATTAACAAGTTGTGATTTTCAGTGCAGAGTGGTCATGGTATCCATTATTTCTCCTCATGCCCAGGCTGCATGCGAACGTGAGTTAGCCGGAGCAACCCCGAGTTCCTAAGTAGGTTTGGACCAGGTTCACTGACTTTGGCCCCGCAAGCGGCTCAGGGCCGAGTGGCCAAGGGTCCCTGCTGCATAATTTATTGGGAACTTAACTGAGTCTAATTACTGTCTCTTGTTCGCTGGCCTGAGGCACATCTGCCCGGCATCTGCCGCGATACCACGCAGTTGGGATGTTGGAATCGCTCTGGGAAGTGAAGCAAAGGGCATGGATGTTTTACTGGGGATGTGTCCCACTGTAACTTTTTACAGGAATCTCCTAGCGGTTTATTAGCCAGCAGTGTTAATACGTGGTGTCTCTCCAACGTGCCGGAGCCAAGGTTTAGGGTGTACTCAGAACACACTGCCTTGGTGAGGCCCAGCCGTGAGGCAGAGGTGGGCGGTCCGGGGTGTTGGGGGTGCAGAGCCCAAACCGTTCTGTGATGTGCCCGCTAAAAAGGCCTCGGCTGATCCAGAAGCGGCTACCCGGTGGTGGCGGGCCGGCCCTACAGGACCGACTGCTGGCACAGAACATGAGAAACAGATAAATAACTAGGAGCCGGGAGTCCCGATTCACAGCCAGGAAAGTGGAACCCAGGGCAAGTTGAGTGAGCAAGCCATCGGAGACTTGACCTGGGAGCCCGGGGCAGAACTGAGACCCTTGCCTCCTGGGGGGCTGTCAGCTGTCGCAAGTGAGAACAGCTTTGGGGAAACAGTACCACTCAGACGATTGGGGAAATCTTACAGGTGCCAGCAGGGTGCATCTGGGACTTCCAGCCGAGCTCCTGGGGGCAGGCGCTCGAGATGGGCCCGCAGAGAGAAACCGGGAAGGTGTGCCCTGCAGAGGGGCGGGGCCGGCACCTGGTCTCTGGGTCAGGGAATAGCAAACACTGGGCAAACACGGAGGTGCTCCCGCACCCCATCTATTCAAATTTTCACCTCACCTAGTCCAGAGTCTTATTTTTATTTGCTTGCATGTATTCCTGAAAAAATCTGCAGTGCTTGGTGGAATTGTGGATGAGCACAGGCTGAAGAAATGACTAAATTATCAGACTGGGCCTTGAGGGCCAGGCCCAGGATGTAAAAGACACAAGGCACTAGGGAGCCATTGCAGGTTGTGGAGTAAGGAAGTCACATGGCTGAAGCTGTGGCAGGGGCACATGGATTACATAGAGGGGAAAAGAAGTAGCACCTGGGGAGCCAGTTAAGGGACGGGTACAATACTCCAGGCCAGGGTGGCCACAGAAATAGGGAAGGAAGGCGGATCTGAGCTCCCTTGTGGGGCTGGTTTGGTGGCGCTTAGCAGCTGCTTGGACCTGGCTCGGCAAGCAGGTAGAGCTTCTCTCCAGCTCTGACCTTGCACATGGCTGCTCTCTAGGAAAGGAGGGGCCACTGGATGTGGGCCGTGGGGAAGAACCATGGTTCGTGAGTGCGGCCCACCCAGAAGCAGAGGTGAGGTGGGACTCCCCGCTGTCTTGCTGGCTGTTCATCACACAGGATGGGGACAGTAACTCAATGGAAGGCAGTAACTCAATCTGCTGCGGGCGTGTTTCGTGTGCCAGGATTTCTGTGCTGAGCGGGCCACTGACCACTCATCCCTGCTTGCTCTGTCGGCTCTGATGTGCTGGAATTCTCTGCGGCGTTGATGACATAGCTCCCTGCGCCTGCCTTCCTCCCTCGTACCGTGAGGCGGGCCCTGCGGGGAAGCGGCCTCTCCATCCAGTGATTCTCTCACTGCCGTTCCTCCTCCCCGGCAGGTGGGTGGCAGGCCCCTGGAGCCCCTGCTCGGCGACCTGTGAGAAGGGCATCCAGCATCGGGAGGTGACCTGCGTGTACCAGCTGCAGAACGGCACACACGTCGCCACGCGGCCCCTCTACTGCCAGGGCCCCCGGCCGGCACCCGTGCAGAGCTGCGAAGGCCAGGACTGCCTGTCCATCTGGGAGGCGTCGGAGTGGTCCCAGGTGGGTGCCCGGGCGGCCACCGATGCTGCCCCCACGGTCCCTTTCTCTGCATCATGCTTCTGACCAATCCTCACACATCTCTGTCCTCACCGGCCCCCAGGTCAACTCAAGGCTGGGTTCTAGCTCACATACCTTTAAATTCCATCCGAGAGCAGGGCCAAGAGCACAGATAATGTGTTATTAATAACATATGTGTGTGTGATAGTATATACCACGGTAATTTTAGATTCTATTTCCCATGAAAATTCTCATGTAAACATAGAGGCGTGAATAGATGAATAGGTAGGTAGGGACGTACATAGATTAGATACCCAGGTACACAGGCCTAGGTTCAGTAGTCCTCCTTTGGGTGTATTGGAACTGGAGTGTGGTCAGATTAGGGAGGGCATTTGGAAGGCTTCCCCGCATCTCCAAGACCGTCTCTGTAGATTGCAAGAGGCGCGCAGGTGCCGGGTGGGACTGCTCTTCCCGCGCTTATCTGAGTTATATACTTCTCATGCCGTAACTATTTTGGAAGGAGGTCGCTGAGGCCTGACGTTTTTCATTTTGCAGACTGATCGTGTGAGGATCACTCTATCGTTAGTAACACGTCCTTCGAGGCTTTGCACTGACTTTGTGTTAATGATTTTTGATTGTTTGGCTATAAAGTGAAAACAAAACAAAACAAAATAGCCGAATCGAGGGCCAGCTTCCCCCAGGTCCTCCGTCAGATGTGTTCTAAGGGAAGTCAGAAAGGCCAAGTCCAAGACACTCTTCAGTGTGGAAAATATTTGTGGAGTTCCTTTCTGTTGCCAAGCAGTTGGAATTATTTTGAATAAAAAAGCATGCTGCCCGCCCCATTCTTCATGAATGAAAAGCCTGCCCGTGGCTGTTCCGAAGCAAAGTTTGCTTGTCAGACAGATTGGAGCATGTACCGGTTTAAAGACCTGCGTGTTTATTCTACTCTCTGTGATATTTTAAGCAGAGAAGAGAGTTTAAAATTTTTGTCTGATTTTAAAAAATGTATATGTACTTAGGTTTGTCAGTTTTAGCGTGCAAGGGACTTATTTTGGGGAAGGGGGTGCTCGCTGGGGGGGAGGGGCAGCTAGGCCATCTCTCCCCTCCCCCACCTCCCCTGAGCCCGAGGGCCTTAATCTCGAGCCTCTGGATCCAAACAAGATTTATGCTTTCATTAGCTCAAAACCATAAATTTTCCATTCAGATTCTTTTTTTTATGGGGGAAAATACCTCTTTACCGAAATAACCAACCCTGACATTATCAACGGCCATCGCAGGATTAAAGCATGCCACGCTGGAAAGTAGGGGAGCCCTCGGACGGGACCGACAGAAAGACCTCTGTCCCGCTGTCCCTGTGTGCCCAGCCTGCCTGACCCTAACCCTGAAACGGTGTCCACACCAGGCAGTCCAGCCCGGGCTCAGCCCAGGCTTCACTAGAAGGCTCCTTCCCAGACACTTAACTTGGAAGCAGACTCCCCCCCTGGCCCTGTGACCTGCTCCAAAACTGGCATTTCTACCACTTTGCCACCTGCCGAAGCCCCTCTGACATTTCTGCTCCTGGAGACCCGGGGCTCTGTCTGCATTTCTCCTGGGGGCTTTCTCGTCGCCCGGCCTGCCTGCATCCAGCCAGCCGTGCTGACAGTGCTCGTCAGCTGCTCCCCCAACTTAGAACGAGGCACAGATGTCCAAAGGGAAGACGAAGGGAATGACTCTCCCCTGTGCTCGGCTCCCAGGTCCCCTCCCCGGATCGAGAGCCAAGAGAGAAACTGCACGTTGTCCCCTCTGCTGTCCCAGCCTGCAAAGAAAGGCCCAGGCGTCCAGCCCATGGGCTGCTGGTCCAAAGGGCCACGCCAGGGATTGGCCACGACACAGGCTGGAGAGTCAGTGCTTCAAGTTCATGGCCAAGGGAGGAGGAACACAGAGCAGAGTCAGACAAAGCTCAGGCAGAAGTGGTGGGGAGGCCCCTAGTTGGAGGCAGAGCCCAAGGTGTGGGTGAGGGAGCGCTGCCCCTCAGAGAAGTGGGGGACAGCCCTTCGACATGGTCACCTGGGGCTCCCTGCCGCAGCCCTCCGGGCCCAGAGCCGTCCTGCCAGGCAGCCCTGGGGGTGGGGGGAGCCTGCCTTGTACTGACCGTCACCTCGTGTCTCTTGAAACCAGCCCCTCACCCCACACGCGGGATCCAATAGCTGCGCTGTCCAAGCGCCCCCGGGGGACCCCCCAGATGGTGCCGGAGCACGCGTGTGTTTCCACTGCAACAGGCCGGTCTAAATGAGAAGAAACCCTCATGGGGCCTTCAGGCAGAGAGCTAAATTGAACACCTAGGAAAAATACGGTTAGATAACGTTTGGGGATAAACGTTAATAACAGAAATATAAGGAAGAGTTGGTCCTTCATGCGCGTTTTTGCAGAAATCAGCTTCATTGCGGCTGGCAAACAGTGCCAAGTAGCCCCCCCCATTTCAGGTCAACTCCACAAGTGTGCAAAGGAAGTTACTCAGCTGTCAGGGCTGCATGCGGAGCCGCTGCAGCTTGGGAGTGCTCCCCACCAGGGCTCCGGCTGAGGCTGTTGGGAGGAAATCGCCCCCGGCCTCCTGGGTCTCACCGTGTCCCTGTGTCTGCAGCCGGCTGCGGGTTGGAGGGGAGCACACCAGGCGCCGGCTGCAGACCCACCCTGTCGGTCCCCTGCGTGTATGCCCGGTTACCCCTCCCGTTACCCCTCTGCTCTCCTCACTCCGTCAAGGGTGGTGCTGCCTGAGGGAATGGGACATTGGTGTCCCCTCCCCATGCTGTCTCTGCTCAGGGTGTCTCCCAGGAAGTAAGGCACCGCAGGGAGCCTTGCTCTGCACCTGCAGGAAGACCGTCCTTGTGGCTGCCTGCAAGGGCTGCAGCCGCCTTTCCCGAAGGCCACGCCTGGCTTTGCTTCCGGTCTCTTCCTCGTCCACCCGGACCTGGTGGCTTTGCCCCAGGCTGGTCGGGGCAGAGTCCGTGAACCTGGGGGCCAGGAGGGAAGAGCCAGGGGCCTCAGACCTCTCCTCTGGGCTTCACTTTCCTTACCTGGCTCTCCCTGAGACCTGTTCCCACTCCCCTCCAGGGGCCATCAGCGTCTGTCCTTTAAACTCTTCTGCCGCCTTGGCCTTTGGGCCTAAATTCCACTCCCCTTGTTCGACAGCCTGACTCCTGTGACCCTCCCCCATCGCCTGCCGCTTGGCGGGGGTCCCAGCGCCACAGGCTCCAGGAGACCAGGAGGTCTTGAGGACAGAAACATGGCGCCCTTGTCCTTGCCTCCCCGGCACTGGGCCTGGCACGGGGAGGGGCTTGCTGGGTGTGGGGGCACCTGGGCTGGCCCGGCCCCAGGTCGATGCATGCACGGTGCTTTCCAGTGCTCCGCCAGCTGCGGGACGGGGACGAAGAGGCGCACTGTGACCTGCACCAACTCGCAAGGGAAGTGCGACGCGTCCACCAGGCCGAAGGCCGAGGAGCTGTGCGAGGACTACTCCGGCTGCTACGAGTGGAGAACCGGGGACTGGTCCAAGGTGAGCCCCTCGCCGGCCGTGCCAGGGACACGAGGCTGGGACTCGGCTGTCCCCACAGGCTTCGTTTCAAGGGGGGTTACCAGGTGACCAGGCAGATCCTCTCTCTTTCCAGCTCAGCACCTGCCAGCAACTGCTTACCCTGTGCGATTTGAAAGGGACAGATGTCCCCCAAGGCACAGAGCTGGGGGCTCAGATGCCACCCTGTCCTACAGGGGTTTGGCCACCCGAGGCTTTTGTCACAAAATCCTGGAAAACGGGTGGGAGCCTGGTCCCAGACACACTCCCCCGCCCCCACAGTTTGTGGGCAGACGGCACTTCCACAGTGGCCGGGGAGCTCAGGTGAGGGGCACGGGGCAGGAGAAAGGACGGCCGTCTTCCAGAGCAGCCCTCGGCCCTGGGCACACGGGGTCAGGCTGTGTCAGGACGATTGGAAGGTCTTCGGTGTTGAACTTCCCTTCGCTCGCTCACCTGGCATTTCTGACAGGCGCCCGTCGGCCGGGAATGGAGGTAAGGCCTGCTGTCAGGTGCAAGGGGCAAGCAGTAGGTTCTCCAGGAAGCCCCCTTCCCCCGAACTGTGACGTGTCGTGTGAAATTGTCTAATGGCGAGCTTTCTTGCGATCACTGCCCACGAGAGCATGGTTTCCGGTCGTGTTTGCTTACGGCCTTGGCGACCGGGAGCTGCCCGTTCGTTTCTCTCCGTGTCCCTTCCCGCTGGTGGCCCGTTCCTGTGTGGCCTGCACCATCTCCAAAACACTTGGGAATGAGTTGCTAACATTGCAAAATGGGGAAATGTCACCCAGCAGTTGGGAATGTGGCTTCTCTGTGCAAGTCTGCCTTGGGTCCTCGCATGCAGCTGTGACCTGGGGACCAGCAGGGGGGCCAGCGTCCTCCCCAGGCCACTTGCTGCTCTGCGCCCCAGGCTCCTTGGAGCCACGTGGTGCTGGGTTCACCTGCCTGGCTCAGGCAGCTCGCTCGCGTTGTGCCTGAGCTTTGTGGGGGAAGGAATGGTTTGCCTGTCAGAAATCAATACTTATTGGAATCTTGTCTTTGCAGAAAAGCCACTCCCCTATCCCCCCTCCAACACACAAGTCAGAATTCAAACTCCTCCAAACCCCTGGGCTGTGTAAAAGCCCGATTTCTCAGGTTCCCTCGGGCTGGCTTCGTGGCAGGGCAGCATCTGGCAGACAGTGAATTCGAGGAAGACCAGAAACACCTTCTTTACTCCCCGCTCAGAAAATGCAGCCGAAGCAGTAGAACCGAGGCCAACAGCCCAGGTGCTCCAAAAATCAGACCTAGGAATGTAATAAAGCTTAGTCCGGAGCTGCCAGGATGAATCTCACACGGGCGAGAGACTTCCCATGAAGGCTCTTGCAGAAGGAACAAGCGGGTGGAACCGGCAGTCCTGATGGTGCACCTACTGTGTGCACAGCACTGCCCGGGTGCAGCGGCAGTTAGTGTGAGGGTGGAAGGGGACCAAGGCCTCCTGCCCAGCTCAGGGCTGGCGTGCACAAACCGGGCCCGGTCAGGAAGAGGCTGACTGAGAGCTCTAGCTCCCCAGGTCGCGGGGCTCCACCTCTCTGCCCCGGTCTCTCTGTCTCTGAAACGGGGACTGTGAAACGCCGGCCTTCTCCTGCTTCTCGGAGACGCTCAGAGCTTCTCACGTGCCGGTGCGCGTGACTAAGCATGGGGACAGCCGAGCCCGCTGTCTGTCACCCAGTGGTTACACTGTTGGGAGACACAGCCCCCGGGACCAGCCTGTTCTGATCTAACCTTCTCTTATCAGTCGGGCTTCTCGACTTTCCTTGGATCCTGCTGAGAAATGTCCCACGTCCAAGCATCTTCAGGCCCAGGCCGGGAAAGGGCCCCGATGAGTCCCCAAGGCCCAGGGAAGCGGAAACTAGCTTCAGCAGCTCAGGCTCCCATTGGGACAAACCGGTGCGAGTTCTGTGGCAGAAGCCTCTCCAGGCGTGACGTTCCGTAGTCCCTGACAGGTCCCCGAGGGCGGGGAGGGGACCTGTCTAACACAGCGACAGGCACGGGTGTGGACTGGAGCACAGCTGTCGTCGTAGCTGGGGAATTAGTGGAGGTCACTCGCCAACCTGCAGCCTGCACTACGGAAGGGTGATTTCTGTGGTCACAGGTGGCCCCGGGCAGGAAGCAGAGGTGAGGTGCGGTCGGTTCAGGTCCGGCGGCACCTGGCGTCGTTTCCCCTTGGCCCTGTGCGCCTGCGCCTCCGGCACCAGCCCCCACCCGCCAGCGTCGTTTTCCCTGGGAGTAGAAGCTCAGAGAGGCTCTGAGGGGTGGAGGGTTTTTGAAATGGTCCCGATGGGAGATTTAAGTCACTGAACCAGAGAGGCAGCGGAGCGTCCCCCAGAGTCTCCCGTCCTGCAGGCTCGCCAACCAGAGTCCAGGGCTCTTGGATGACCAGCCCAAGTCATGGGCGGGGGTCCCCTCAGCTCTCTGGTTCCCCAGCTCTGGTGTCCCTACCAGAACGTGCCAAGTCAGTGGGCTGCACATCAGAGGGAGGAAGGGAAACGCAAAACCGAGGCTAAGGACAGGAGGCCGCCTCTGCCCGGGATGCAGGAGTGTGTGTGTGGCTGTGTGTGTGTGCTCAAGTGCCCCTGAGATGGCATTTCCAGTGTCGGGGCTGGAGCAGGGACGGTGGGGATTTATTGCTTAAACCTGCCATTTCAGGTTGCAGCAGCTTCCAAGGCCTGGCTGGCTCATGCCAAGGTCGGGGCAGGGGGTGGGGGGGGGAATCTGTCACAAAATGCTTTTGACGTCTCACCAGCCAAGTGTCTTTTAGGCAGAAACAGAAAATAGAGTCCCCATAGGGGTGTTCGTCCCCCCCATACCGACCCATCTCTCTCTTCTCTCTCTCTCCCCACCACCCCCTTTTTTGCTCCCCAGCCTGCCCGAGGCAGACCGGCCCCTCAGAGAATGGCCCAGTGACAACATGGGGGGTGACAGGGGGCAGCGAGGGTCGCCCTGGCACACCGGTCACCCTGACCCGGTCTCTGGCTCCCCCCACCCCCGGGGCCTGCGGATGGCCCTCTGGGCCCCCGCTTTCTAAGAACCAGAGCTCGCACGTCCGTAACATTCCTGCCGAATTTTCTTTTTCCCCGACACTTTTACAACCTCCGTTAGCTAATTCTCCAAACATCCCTTTGGGATCTGGTGTTATTTATAGCCGCGATTTTACAGGCAGGAGAGGGGAGGAGAAGGGAGTTCTCGCCCTGGTGGAGCCTGTCATTAGGGCCAGCCTCCACACTGTGACAGAGACCGGGCCCTCCCCTGGGGGGGGACGGTGTGGCCGTGGCTGGCCAGGGTGGGGGCCCCAGGGAGGGCAGGCCAGGGTGGGGGCCCGGCCCTGGGGAAGAGCTGCACAGACGCTCTCACCCGCATGCCCCACTTCTCTGAGAGGCCCCTCATGCACGTTTATGGAGCACCTGCTGTGTGCACAGCACTGCCCGGGCGCAGCGGCGGTTAGTGTGAGGGTGGAAGGGGACCAAGGCCTGCTGCCCAGCTCAGGGCTGGCGTGCACAAACGGCCCCGTGACTGTTATCTTCCCAATTACTGCGAAGATGCCAGGCCTGTAAAGCCTGCAGAGTGTCGTGCTGTCCCCTGGGTCAGGGAGCGAAGGTCTCTCCGCCTTTGCAGGAAACCGTCCACCAAGACGGGAATCTCTTTCGCTTTCGCCTCCTGATCTGCATTGCAAGCCTCCGAGTGAATCCAGGTCATACATTCGTCTTTCCCTTGTTGATACGAGCCCTTCGCTCTCTGTGCACTGAATTTCTGAAAGTTTATTATTGCTTTTCCCGTGGAACTTCCACCCCGAGTGCTCTCCCCCAGTGGGGGAAGTTCCCCAGGTCGTTGGTGGCAGGTCACCAGGTTACATTTGTGCTGCAGGCACATGCGGGTCGGCGGGGGCGGGGTGGGACAGCGGCCTTTCGGGCCGACCCTGGCCTTCCCCACTTTTGTGTCTGTTCCCGTGTTGTGGGGGCCCGCGAGGTGCCGGTGCAATGAGCAACTTGCAAAAGCCTGCTTCCCCCGGAGACCAGATACCTGTTTTGTTGGTTTTTTTTTTTAAGTAAATCTGTTTGCTTGGAGTGTAAAAGCCTGAAAAAGGGCTTCACTGAGGTGCTCGGGGCTAATCCGATGCTATCGGGAGACTTGAGTTGGGGAGGGGATCTCCTGGCTGTTTAATCACAGCTGAGGCTGGGTGGGTGTGGGGGGCGGGCAGAGACCGAGTCGGTTGTGCCTCTGCCGTCCTGAGTGTGGCTTGCTCTGGTCCCTGGGGAGGCCATTGAAAAGCACCCCGTGTTCAGGGCCACACCAGCCCGTGACTGTGAGCTTAGCCGCTGGGCTGCCAGGGCAGTGCTGGGAGCTGGGCAAAGACCGGCAGGTTCACACCCGCCTGCGGAGGCCTGGGGACCGCCCGGTCACTGGGGAGCCCCCGGCTACGGGCCAGGTGACTCAATGGACCTTCCCAGACACCAGGGACTCCCTGGTCAGCCCTCCCTGCTCTTGGCCCTGTGCCTGTGGTGAGTAATCATCACAGTGCCGCTTGGGGAGGGCCCCTCCATCCCAGTCCCCCTGTTGGCACCCGGTGTGAGCTGTCTGTAGTCCCAGAGACCATTCTGCGGGGAAGGCTTCATTACTCCCAAGCCACAAAGAAACAGGCTCAGATGGGTTAAGTGTCTTGCCCAAGGTCACCCAGCCCAGCAAGCAGGCATGCAAACAGGCCCCTCCTGCCCCCCCACCGCTCCTTCTTTGCTGGTGAAACTTGGTCCAGGAGGGTGTGGGTACGTGTGGCTTTTAGGCCAGGGCAGGTGGACACTAAGTTGCCTCAACTGGAAACCCAGCCAGTGTGAGAGGTGGCGCTACATCAAAGGCTCATCGGTGGGGTTTTTCACTATTTATTTTTTTTAAATCCTTGCCTGAGGATATGCTTACTGATTTGGGGGCGGGGGGAGAAACATCAGTCAGGTGCCTCAGGCACACACCCCGACCCGCAATCAAACCCAAAACCCAGGTATGTGCCCTGACCGGTAATCGAACCCGCAACCTTTTGGTGCACAGGATGACACTCCAACCAACCACCCGGCCAGGGTGTTCACTTCTATTTTTAATTACACAGGTAAATCTGTCTTACTACACAAGACACAGGAGGGAACAGAAGTCCCCCAAACCAGGTGGTAGCCTGGTGACTCGCCGGACGGCGAGTGGTTCTCCTGGTCTTGCACATTCCACATCGGTACTCACTCAAGTGCTGAGGCTCCGTGCCCGCCACTTGGTGACCGGTGTCTTCTCACCGAGTGCCCGGAGGCACCCTCCCTGGGGCTGGCTCAGACAGCCCCAGGCAGGCGCCTGAGCAGAAGTTGTTCCTTGGGCGAGTGCAAACCACGTGTGGCCGCAGGCCGTGTGCTCAGCAGCGCTGAGATCCAGCAGACCCTACACCAGGCCTGAAACCCCTGGGGGACAGCGTCTGCGGGGCGGGTCCAGGGTGCCCCCAGCGGTGGAGGGCTGGCCCGCTGCCTCTCACCGCACCCAGCCCTGCCTCCGGAGGTTCTGCAGAGGACAGACGCTGCCTCTCATTGGAAGAACCTTGCAGGCACTTTCCACGGCCCCAGGGGGGCAGCCCTGTTCTCCAGACTAGAAGATTTAAAGCCAGGGGCCACTCGAGGGCAGACGGTGAATAAGGAGACCGTGGGGCTGGGCAGGGACCTGCAGTGTGGTGTCTGGCCTCCCGCAGAAGTGCCCTCCAGAACAACCTCTAATTTATAGGGGAAGGTGGAGCAAGCGTTTGGGGTCCTGTCCCCACTCTGTCACTCACTAATTCTGTGACCTTGGCAAGACACCTCCACTGAGCTTGGTGGCCGACTACCTGCCTCGGGATCATTGCAGAATGTTCCGCACTCTTGTGGGGTCTTACCAGCGAGCCCACAGGACAGGTGAACACGCCGCCCCCGCAGGACTGCCATCCCGCTCCCCCCCCCAGGCCAAAGCAAGTGCAACAAGACTAAGAAGCTTCCGTGCGGAAAGTAGTCCTCAAGGCCGCCCCTGCCACACACCTGAGTTTTACTGAGTCCTCGGTGTGTCCCAGCAGAGGCCTCGTCAGTTTTGCACTTGGTTTTAATAGACCCACGGGACCCAGGCCTTGCCTGGCTTTTTTTACACGAGTTACAGCGACACCTGCAAAAGACGTCGGGGCCCAGGGTGGCGTGCCCAGCCAGGAAGTGACTCAGGCTGACTGCCTGGAGCGCAAGGCCTGGGGACCTGGTGGCAGGGGCGCCTGGGGAGTGACACAGGTGTCCTGCGAGCGTCTTCTTTGTTTGCCTGGGGACCCAGAAACCCAACCACCACCTGGCCCACATCCCTCCAAGAAGGACGGCATGGATTCCTAGCCCTTCCTCCCGCGGTGAGCCGCACCAGGGCCGGTGGGCCAGTCAGGGCGTGAGAGTGAAGGGGTGTCGGTGCTGCCTCTGTGTGTCCCTTGCCTCCCTCAGTGGGCTTGTTAGTGCTGCTCGGTCACCAAACAGGGCTCTGAGGCCACAGTAATCCTGTTGCCACGGGCAGTAGGTTTGGGTTTTTTTTTAATGTTTTATGACCAGTGTAGATATAAAAGTCTCTAGTAGCATTGGTGGACTAGTCAAATGCCTACTTAAAATATGCAACTTTTTCATTTATTTACACATGCGTATTTAAAGCTATAGATCTGTATCAGAACCACTGCCGTTTTCTGTCTCGGGCATGTCACGAAGTTGAGCTGGGTTCCCCTGCTGCGTGTGCAGGGTCACACACAGTGGGGCATCCGCCCTGCCACGAGGCGCAGCCCGCCTGCTGTCAACCGCGGTCTCCTGGCTCCACCTCCCGAGTCACCACATTCAGTTCGCTGCGCTCCCTGAGCACCACCTCTTCCTCTTGCACACGAACCTGCTGCCCTCTCTGGCTGCTCACTCAGGGGCTGGGGCCTAACTTTGCACCAGATCGGCATGGCTTGCACCGCGTCAGCATCGCTTTGCTCTGTGCTCCCAGGGTTTGGCGCTGTGTTAGGGCCCTACGCCATTCCTTCACTCGCCCTGTTGGCCTGGTCTCCCCGTCCACTCACAGGATTGCTTACCCATCGCCCCTCATTTGTGATTATGAAGTCCTGCCTCCAGGAAAAGACAGTTCAATTGCTTTGCCTCCTTCCCCGCCCCCACCCTTGGTGATCTTGCTACAGCATAATCCAGGGCACCCCTTACTCCTGCCCCCAGACTGTCACTTTCCCCAGAATAATTGAGAGCAAAAACCTTGCCCCCCTTTTATTTGAGCACACCTGCCACCTCTGTATAAACTCAGCCATCAGGACTGCAGCTGGGTGTCCACTCTTACTCAGTTGCATGTATTGGTACATAAACACTCAAGTACTTCATTGTAATAAAAGAGAGTCCCTCACCGTCCACACGGGACACTGGGCGGAAGTTCAGGGATGGTCCCAGGCCCTCAGGTCTGGCTGCACGTGGCAGTAACCTGCACAGCTTTGCAAACCGCCGAAGCCCAGTGCCCCCTGGAGATCCTGGTTGATCGCTCTGGGCCATCAAGGTCCGTAAAAGCTCGCCAGGTGATTGATCACTGCAGGGAGGAAGAGAGGGTTCTGAGCTTGCTCCCTTTCCTCACAAAGGCACTAATCTCTCCAAGGGGGCCTCACCCTTGTGACCTCATGTAACCCTAATTGCCTCCCACAGCCCGCCACCATGCCATCCCATGGAGGTCAGGGCTCTGTGTGACTGCTGGGGGGACAAAAAAGTCTTGAAACAGCCTTCCTTCAGGCCACGGGTGCCCAGCCGAGACCTGTGCCCCGCGGGGGCCGCACCCCCAGCCCAGGTGAGGCCCCGGCTCAGGTGCCCCTGTCTTCGGCAGTGCTCGTCCACCTGCGGGAAGGGGCTGCAGTCTCGCGTGGTGCAGTGCATGCACAAGGTCACCGGCCGGCACGGCAGCGAGTGCCTGGCGCTCGCCAAGCCGGCGGCCTACCGCCAGTGCCACCAGGAGGTCTGCAACGACAAGATCAACGTGAACACCATCACCTCCCCCCGCCTCGGTGAGTGCCTGCGCCCGTCCCATCTCCGAGGGCCTGTGCGCCCTCCCCCTGCCCGGCGGTTCGGGTTTCTAAGCCTGAAAGCCCCTCCTTGGGTCTCCTTCCAGCCCTGGAGAGGCCGGCATGCGTCAGTCGTGTAGAGGATTCGGAACTTCGGGTTCCACTCCTTGTCGTGACAAAGACATCAGCTAACTGCAGTCCCCAGTGCAGCCCCTTGTGTGTCCCATTGACCCCTCTGCCAACAAAAGGGGGGCATGGGAGAATGTTCTTCAAGTGTTTTAGGGTTCCCGTGCCTGGCAGGGGGGCAGGGAGCAGAGGGAGATGCTCACTTCTGGAAACGAAGGATCTGGGGGTGTCACTCACGACTCCCTGGTGGTCTTCACCTGGGGTGCTCCGAGAGCTAAGCCTGAGAGCGGCAGCAGTACTGGCAGGTGCCGGCCACCGCTCGGCAGGGAGCTTTTGTGAGCGCTCCAGACCTGGCCGGCGGCAGCTGCGCCTTTAACAGTGATCTGATGATGGCCTTCGACAGAGTCTCTGCTTCTCCAGATAGATGTGCGGGGGGGGGGATCCCCGCCCCCTCCCAGGCTCTCTCCGCCTCCCCCCCCCCGCCGCAGTGTTGGAATGCCGCCAGGACGAAGGGGTTTTCTAAGTGGTGTCACTGTGTGTGGGGGGTGCAGGTAGAGCCTGCTGAGGTGCACCCCAGGTTGCTGCATGCCCTTGGTGACCCCCTGAGGCTTCCCTCGGGCAGGACCTTCTCTCTGTACACCCAGGACCCGGAAGGCAGTTGGGCCACTTGCTCGTGCTGCCTGCCACCTGGTGCCTTTGTGGCCCTTTGGCATCAGTGCCCTTGGGTTTCCTAAATGCCAACAGCAATGACATCTGCTGCCCTCAAATAACAGAAAGCGCCACTTAGCTCAGAAGTGGGCAGTGCCCTCTCGCCCCAAGGAGGCAGCCAGACCACTGAACTCGGCCAAGCGGTCCAGGCGGACACAGGTGTGCGCCTGTCCCCTGTCGGAGGAAGCAGCATCCCCGGTGGCCCTGGTAGGGGATGCGCTTCCTCAGTCCATCCGTGCCCGGCTCCGGGGCGCACCAGGAAGGGCAGCCCAGCACGTGCCGGCCACAGGCCCCTCCGTGCACGTGTGACGGCGTCCCCATGCCGTCTGTAACACCCCGGCTTGCATTTCTGTCTCCACGTCCCCTTAGCTGCTCTGACCTACAAGTGCACTCGTGACCAGTGGACCGTGTACTGTCGGGTCATCCGGGAAAAGAACCTCTGCCAGGACATGCGGTGGTACCAGCGCTGCTGCCAGACGTGCAGGGACTTCTACGCCAACAAGCTGCGCCGGCCACCACCGTCACCGAGCTCATGACACGCACCCCTCGGTCCCTCCATGCTCCCACGTGAGGTCTGAGTCCCAACCACAGGGCCAGCTGAGAGCCCGCCCCTCCGAGAGCACACTGTCCTGCAGCTGGGACCCCGCAAGCACAGCGCCGGTCTCCCGTGGGCTGCCCTGGGACTCCAGTCCCCGTAGAACTTGAGTGTGGACTTGACGTTTGCCGTTCGGGCGTTTATACTTAATATATTGTTCACGGCCACTGGATGGCTTTCTGCAGTGAGGAAAGGAGCAGTCACGAGGCCCAGGATGACCACGGCCTCGGCGGTCCCGTGTGCCCCCAGCAGGGCGTCTGCAGTGGCCGTCCACAGGGACGTGGTGGGTGCCTCTGTTCTGCTTCCTGCTGATGTCGGGATTCACGGCGCTTGACGGACCGCGGGGGAACATCCACAGCGAGACAGGAGACATTCACACGGGCTTTGTTCTGAAAGCCAGCGGCACCCTGGGCAGAAGGACAGATGCCAGCGAGCCTCTGCTGGCGGCCCCTCGGAGAAGGCCGGGCTGCCAGGGCCCTCGTGACCACACAGGGCCTTGGCCCGCCCGCCTGCCGGAGCCGTGCTCTCCCGACCCGGGCCCCCACCTCGGAACTCTTCCTCCGAGCGTTGGGATCTGCGTCCGCGGACGAGGAAACCAGGGCCAAGGAGCTCTGCGCCCCACAGGTGGGGAGGAGTACCCCAGAAGGGCGTGGGGAGGCCTCTAACTTTCCGATCCCTGCTGTCCACCACGGAGAGAAGCAGAAGAGTCTCGTTCCTTAAGGTGCGGTGACACAGGATGCGCGCTAATTTCGGCTGTGGGCTGGCTTCCTGGTGCGCAGGGGAGCTCGGGACCGCTTTGCCTGGGGGTGCGGCTGCGCCCCCCCCCCCCGCCTTCTGGGGACCTCTGCTCCAGCCAGTACTTCATATAGAGCTTTGCACCTTGTAGGTGGCTTCCATCGATGTGACCTTGGACGTGTATCTGAAGCTGACTGTCTTTAGAACCTGTGAAGACTCGAGCTGGGGCCCGGCTGCTTCACCCCTCCCGGGGCGGGGTCCCTGTGGGGGCAGCTCACTGGCATCCGGCATCTCCAGAGGAGCTCCCTCCAGCCAGCTTCACTGCGGGACCAGCAGGCCTTCCTTGTTGTGACTGACCCCTGTCCCCAGTGGGGCAGGAAGGACACTCGGAGAGGCTCGAGGAGGGTCTTCCCCTCCTTCAGTCCCTTTGCCCTGCGAACGGAGCTGCGCCCTCTCTGGAGCCCCGGGGAGTGGCCACAGCGGCCTCCGCGGGAGCGCAGACGGCAGGGCCCTGCCCACTCCGGGAGCTCGCAGGGAGGGACCCTGGACGCCAGGGGTGTGCTTTGCTGAGCAACTTGGTGGTGGGTGTTTGATGGGTGCTAACGTTCGAGGACGTCGTCAGGAGAGACCTCCCCATCCCTTATTCCGGAAGGGTCGCCTTCATTCATTGGTGCTGTGTGTTTGTGACTGTGTCTGTGTTTCCCACATCACGATGTCAGGGTCAGCTTAGATCACAAGGACAGACACCGAGCTGCCTGTCGTCTGGAGCCTGCACCAGGGGCTGGGTGTTGGTTTTGGGGTGTCCCCTCCCCAGGGGCCGAGAAGCGGTCGGGGAGGCGGGGAATCGGCGCATCCACCTTCACCTCGGTGAGAAGTGAAGTGTGGGGAAACCGCCTTTGGGGGTCTGGGGAGACAGGAGAGAAAGCCAGGGCCCCGCAGGAAGGGCTGTCCTCCCCAGCTCCGGCTCTGCCACCAGCAGACGCCCCAGACCCTGTTTCCATAAACCAGTAAATCTTAGGGAGCTGGTGCTTAGCGTGTTCTCAGCCCCAGATGTTCTGTGCTTCATCGCAGGACAGGGTGGGTGCCAGCGGAGGAAGCCAGGGCTGCCCAGCTGGCTCGTCCACGAGGGGTCGCTGGGCCCACCCGTGCCTGTGCTCCGGGACGAGCCCTTCCCCCGGTGCCTCAGAGTGTGCTCCTGGCTGTTTGGGACTGTGCCGACCGGGCACCCCTGGGCAAGGGCCTCACACTCCCCGGATGCAAAGGATGGATGCGGTTATTACCAAGTGCCCGGTGGATTCCCGGCTCCTTTGGCTCCCACACTGGTGCAGGCACTCTGGAACTCATCGGCCCGCCTCCCTCAATCAACTGCAATGGTTGATTTCATTGCGGCGTTCCCCGATGCCCCACTCTGGGTGGGAGACATCACAGCCCCGGGAGGGCAACAGCTACGTCTCCAGATCACTCCCCATGCCCTGCACCGTCACTGAAGTGCGGGGCCTCTCCCCGGGCACTAGTGCACTGCTAATCGCAGGGTCGTAGGTCTCGTGGTGCTATTTTCATTGGTGCAAATGAAGCGCTCGGTGGGCCGTGGCTTGATACTGTCAGAACACAGGGAAAGGCCCCGAGGGCGACAGTGTCCTTTCTTTGTTCTCCTCCCCGTCCCATGTACATAGTTCCCGTGAATTAGCTTGCCTGACGTGCTGTACCCGTGGTATTTCTGTTTGACTTTCTGGTGCTGGTTCTGAAAGGAAGAAAAAATAAGAAGAACAAGACACACATTGGACCCCACTATAAATGAAAAATTAATCGTTTCATTGGAAGCAAGCGGGATACGTTGAATAAAATGTTTTTCCATAACGGTCGTAAGCTGTCTGTGAAAGGCAAGACAAAAGCCAGTCCTCCGGGGCCCAGCCTGGGAGGCTGAGTCCCTTCCTCTGCGGCGGTCACAGAGCCGGTCTGGGGCGTGGCCGCCGGGAGCTGGAGACTGCGGAGGGCAGCCGCGGACAGGGTCAGAGGTCGCTGGCACTTGCGTGCAGGAGGGCAGCTGCGTCCCTGCAAGCAAGCCCTAACCAACCATCCCGGCCCGAGCCTCCTCCCCGTGTGGTCACAACGCCCCGAAGGCTGGCAGTCTGCGCATCTGACCCCGAGCGGTGGCCATCAGTTCGCTGGTAGAGCCACCCACTATCCGTGGAGGGACAGGGACCTCCTCGGGAAGAGGCCAGGCCTGTATCTCGTCAGAATGGCCAGGTGCTGCCTACCACCTTGTCTCGCCAACCTTTAGCCCCCACCCAACCCTGCTGACTCCCCCAGACAGATCCCCCCTTCTGGAAGGTGTGAGCCAGAGAGCTGGCCCTGTGGACCACCCAGACCGGGGACAGGGAGTGGGCACCGCACTGTCATAGCTGGAGCCATGGTGGCCCGTGGGACCCTGTCTGGGCCTGCCTGGGAGCAGGGAGGTGGCAGTACCTGCTCCCGGGGGCTTCCCCTCCCCCTGGCACCCAGGAGAGAAAGCTCCCCACGCAGAAACGTGGGGCTGCATGTGGCAAGGGCCTCTTTTCCACGTTGGAACAGCACGAAGAAAGGCCACGAAAGGCCCTTTGTTTAGGGAACTGCTCACAGTCCCCCAGTTACCAGGAAACTTGTTGTCACTTATGCCCAATTTTAAGAACATTCAGCCTCCTGCCTCTGGGAGCAGTGAGAACCCTCTCTCCCTTTCTCCAAGAGCAGGTCCCATCTCTCTGGTGGGCAGTTCACGTCTAACACCCCTGATACTGTGTGTATCTTTTTATGAGCTGCTCCAGTTCCAAGTGGCCCTTGGGCATTTCCATGTGTGGGATGACGTTGACAAGCTCTCAGCTGGCCAGGGTTAAGCAGGCTTCTTTTAGGAACTGAGTCCTTCCTGGAAACCAGTGAGAACACAGCCCTATAGGCCAGACCAGCCTGGAGTCGGGAAAATAGCGGGCAGATGGATGAGGGTTCCAGGAACTCCCTGCTGGGTCTGTCCATCCACCTTCTGGACACAGGCTGGAAGGGTCAGGGTCGGAATCTTGTCTCTATGCTGCCGGGGGGTTTTGGCAAAAGCCCTCATGTTTCTGCTTCTGGGCACAAACCAGCCTGTCTGTCTGTCCCCCTCATCTGGCTGATGGAGGAAGCAGCGGTCCAGGCCTCACACGTTCAGTCCGCCCCCCTGTCAGTTCCCTCTCGCTGCCTGTCATCGCTGACCAGACAGTTCCTCAGGCTCTCACCCTGGACAGCAGGGGCACTCTTCCTGGTGCGTCTCCAGGGGCCGAGAGGGCATCGAACTGCACGGGCATTCGAGTGTCCTGCCTTCCAGCTCTCAGCAGCCTTCCCCTTGGGGACAGCCCCTTCTGACGTTTGCTCTTCCCCTTTCTTACGTTCCCTGTCTCTGTGAGCCTTCTCTCCCTCCGCTTCCTCCCTGGGTCATAGCACCCAGACCTGAGACCTAAAACCATGCACATTCTGGTGTCTCCCAATTCAATGTGTGGGGCCCGGACCTCCATATTCATGCGTGACCTGTCCATGTGCCCGGTCAACCCCACAGGAAGCTCTGGGGCGGGGGTGGCCCTTCAGAACGGCCCCAAATCGGAGATGGGGTCAGTGGACCCCGGGGCCTCCTCTGGGGTGGCTTTGAGGACAAGTGGAGGCTGATGTCAGCCTTAGGGGCCTCGGCTAGGACTGCCGGCCAGAACAATGAGGCCTGCTCCCCAGGCTGGTCAACTCCACTGAAGCCTGCTGGCAGGGTTTCAGGGACAAACACACCGAGAGACAGGCAAGGGACCCTCACAAGAGCTGTGTCCGCCCTGTGACAGACGGCTGGAAAGTGGCCATCTGCCACCCTGTCGTCGGTGAGGCAGTTACACGAGAGGTCTACTCCCGTGCAAGGGGCGGGGGCCGGAGTCCACCTCTTGCTGAGGGGGGTGGGGCGGCGAGGTGCTGGAAAAGCAGCGGGTGAGAAATGTCGTCGGGACTGTGCTGTAGAGGATTCACACGCCCTCGTGTGCCAAGGTCACTCACCCTTCCCCCTGCCCCAAAGGCTCATCCCGGCTCCGGTGTCGCGGTCAGGCTCCGTCCAGGGCGCGTTGTCCAAGTCAGGACGGCTTCCTTCCACGTGGTTCCCCAGCTGCAGCTTCCGGCGCAGTTTCTCTTGATCGGAAGACCTGTGAACTCAAAAGAGGCGTTTTCTCCTCCCGACACCCAAGAGAAGGAGGTGGGACGGGCAGAGCAGGCGCTGTTTCAGAAGGTGTGGGGGCAGTGGCGTGTCTCCGTTGCTTCCACCGCAGTTCTTTAAGTGGGTTTTATTTTGTATTTTTAAAGATTTTATGTATTTATTTTTAGAGAAGGGGGAGGGAGGGAGGGAAAAGAGAGAGAGAAACATCAGTGTGTGGTTGCCTCTCACGCGCCCCTAGTGGTGTCCTGGCCTGCAAACCAGGCAAGTACCCTGACTGGGAATTGAACTGGCAACCCTTTGATTCCCAAGCCAGTGCACTATCCACTGTGCCACACCAGCGAGGGCTCTAAGTGCATTTTATGTTAACATTTTTACTTGCACATTGTCTGTTTTCCTGTCTGGAAAGTAAGCGCAGGGGGGCAGAAAGCATGCTTCTCCTGTGTGTCGCTGGATCCCGGGGGCCCAGCTCAGGCACGCACCAACCGACCACGCTTCCCCTTTGCCAGTTACAACTTCCGTGGTTTAGATTGTTTTCGGAGAAGTTCAGGGTTGTACCAGAAAATGTTTATGCACAGTAATAAAAGTGTACTCTAGATGCAGTGATTTTCTTTTTGCAAAGACCTTAGGTGATACAAATATTTGGACACCTGGCTGCAAATCGGGGAAAACAAGATGTCTGCAGGTTTTCCAGTTCTTTCCCTCATCTGCCACCCCTTGCCAACAGACAGGTGTTTGTTTCCAGGTGGTTGCCATGGTGATCTAGAAACTGTTTGCTCTCTGTTTCCTGTTGTCTTTGGAACAGGAGATTGACAGGTTCACAGGCAGAGAGAAAATCCGGTTTGGTGAGGGTCTTCGTGAAGTTGATCGGGCGCCACCGCCTGGTGTTTCCGTAATAAGGATTTAACCGCTGAGTCGACCGAGTTATCAGGACGCGTCTGTGTGCCTGGCTGGCTTCCAGCGTGACCTGGGTGCCCACGGTGGGGTGTCCCTGACCAAGGGCCAGGCTCCGTAGTCCCCCCAGGCACCAAGAACTTGCCGTCCCCTTGGCTTTGAAGCCCTGCTTAGAAAAACGGCCCCTTTCAGATTCCGGGCGGCTTCAGCATGGCCTTCAAAAATGACCAGGAAATTCGAAGTTTTCCTTCTCCTGGAATTTCTTAGGGGAACGCTGGGGTTTCCCCAGGAAAAGACTGTTTTCTCAAATCTGGGGGACCTGTTCCCCTGCAGGGAAAATGTCAGGGACCCATTGGACCATGGGGCCCCATGGCAGACAGAGCCCCCCCAACAGAGCCAAAGCAGAGCCGCTTCCCAGCAGAGCCGTGAGTGAGGATGGCATCTCCCCCCACGGCCCGGCTGCTTCGGGACGTGCCTGGTGCCGATCGTCGCCGAGATCCGAGATCCGACAGGCAGAGGTCGTGCACACAGGTCTCCGAGGACGAGGGCTGTCCCTGCAGCTTCTGTAGGCCCCTTCCTCGTTCCTTCGTATTCTCTCCTCACTTTCATCCTGCCGCCTCCCTTTCTGTCTCCATCTCGTGAATGTTCATATTTATCCTTTTTCTCCCTCCCTTCCCACTTTCTGCACTTTTTGTTCTCACTCTGTCCAATTTCCAATGATTTTCCACTTCTGATCTTGGTTCCCTTGTAGACACAGAAACTTCCAAGCACCCTTTAAAAGCCCCCTTCCTGGGGTCCTTGCAAACTAACTGTGCTTTAGAAGCTGTAGCAGCTGGAAGCTGGGTGCCCACGTTCAGCTGAACCCCGCATCCGCCAATCACCCGTTGGACACTCCTGCCGCTGACGACGTTTTGTCCTCAGCTGTTGGCCTTCTGGCCGCTGAGGCGAGCTCTCAGGTGCCAGTGGGCAGTCACCCAACCGCAGTCCCGGAAGTCCCGTCCGCGGGTTGCCGTGTCGGAACACACCACTGAAGTAGCGTGTTGCAGTGTCCACATGTGACCGTGATGATGGACCTGTCGAACGCTGAGAGATCGGGAAGCCCTAGTGGAAGCCGAATGCCCCCCCCCATTAGATGGGGACACAGCAGAGGGGAGGGGAGGGCTGCAGACCTGCCGGTGTGGCGCCCGGGTCAGTTCGGCGCATCCATGATTTTTGCCAGCGTTGCCGTTTTACAAAGCCAGTCCATAACGTATCCACACGTGTTACGTGATGTTTCGTTTTCCCGTCTATTTCTAACTAACACGCACGGCGTACGCAATGCGTACGGTGAAGTGCAGCCGTAGGGTTCACTCGGGACACTCCGCGTGGCTTCTGTGATGTCCCCAGAGCAGTTTCAGGAAGACCCCTGCGTCCTTGGGAGCGTGGTGGGGTCCCTGCACTGGGGCAGAGGTTCCCACGGCAGCCCCAACACCCGTCTGATGTGTGAGCTACGGCACACGTCACCTGTCTACCCCAGGACTCGTATAAATGACCATTTCACTGTGCACGCCAGTAAACGGGGTAGAGGGAAGGGTCACCGCAGCCCAGGCCCCGTCCCCGTCCCCAGAGAATCAGAGCAGCGTGTGGCTGTGCCCTGCCCTGAGCAAATAGTGGCTCTGCCCAAATGTGGAAAAATATTCCAGTCAGCTCCAGCTAATCGGGCTGTTGGCTCTGGAGTGGGGATAAACAAACCTCTGCCCGGGG